TTTTTAACAAAGTAGTAGTGAAGCTTGTTGCTGTTAAAAAAATGAACAAAAAAGGACAAAACATTTTATGTGGACCAGACCAAAGAACCCCAATAACCTTCAGGAGGTAAGGGACTGATTTGAGTTCAAKTTGCAAAAATGAAGCTGATGACTTTTTGTTTGCCCTTAAAGTTAAAATTATGATTACATTTCTAAACCCAGAGGTGAAGCATTTCCTCTGTTTCTGTATCAGATTTTAAAAATCATACCTGTGCAACAGTTCCTCCAAGACGAGGAGCTGAGGCCGTCTTTTTTTTTTACGATCTTTAAAAGAAATAAAGTGAAAATCAGAACCTGTGAGTCACTTCTTCTCTGCTACACTAAAGAGTGTAATCTTCTCGGCGGTAAAGACGTCCCCGCTGAGATAAACTTTGTTCGTGTTCGGTTTTTGTTCCACGATAAAAATAGTTTGAGACCGCGAACGAGTTCTAAAACAACAAGACGAGATGAGACAAAAACAGCTTTTCTTTAACCTGCACGCCTGCTGCGGGGTTACAGAGTCATTTGAGGAAAAAGAAAAAAAAATAACTCTGGCTGAGAAAAATCCTGCATCAGTTCTTGATTGGCATGAGAGCGGTGGAATTTGAAAATCTTGAGTGAAGCGAGCTCAGCAGGAGACCCACGGGGGTCTATGGGTGCTGAACACGGGCAGACGGGGTTAATTATGAGCTCCTGGTCCGGGTCTGAGTGGATCTCCATGGAAACAGACGGAGATGTCACTCAGCCTTGAATGACCACGTGTTCGGCTCACACAAACACCCTGATTTAAACAACTGCCAGTTGCTGAAGACAAATAAATGGTTTTTGATTTTGCCTCTGCGTGTTTGCTTGTCTGTTAGCAAAATATCTCATGAACCACTAYATGTATTTTAARGAAACTTTCAGAAAGTGATTATTGGATGTATATCTACAAAACTTTAGCTTCTGTGGTTGACACCTTTAAAGATGGTCATCACAGCTAAGTGACCACAGCAAACACAAAAAGAGCTGTAACTCAGCCAGTCTTACAGATAATAAGTTGAAATTTGGTGTGGTAGTAGCTGAYGGTCTTCTCCAACAAATAGTCRGAGCACTAAAWGTTGAATTACTTCCTCACTTAAAATGCTGACATTCACTATTGACCAAAACTAATACGAGATTTTTTTTCTTTGTACCCACAATTGAAAAAGGCCATCTTTAGCTGTTTTTGCAAATGTGTTTGAAACAACAAATACTGTGAAACATGTGAATTATTAGATCATTCTTGTTGACCACTTCAATAATACTAATTCACTACATATTGTAACATTTACCCCCCTGGCCAGAAAACATCTCTTAAACAAGTCCTGATACATCTCAGTAATCCAGGTAAAAAATCAAAAAGAAAAAAATTATATAGGTCTTCTGGACGGGTTCTTCTC